AAATTTTAAGATGGAGTTATTAAATGGCCCAGGAGAAATAAACTCACATCAAACGAAGCTGAGTCTGTTATTTCTGAAAAGCCTTTTTTCCTCTGTTCCTTAAAGAGCAATCACACTGATCTAGAGGGAATTTTATTTTTATCCTTTCTGGCTTAACTTCTGTTTATTGCAAAGGAGGTTAATATCTTCCCTAAACTTGGGTTTCGTAACTCAGCATTAGGACCTGACAACTAACATCTTATTGAAATACCTGGGATGAAACAAAACATCATTGACTTGTTCTTGCTCCTATAAACCTCAGTTTTCAAAAGCTTTCCATGTCAATTACCTCCCATAACAAAGCAGGTCACGCTGGCCTCCTGATGACGCTGAGAGGGTCATATCATCAGTCAGGGCCTTGCTTAGACTTCACAGTCAAATCTAATTTCTTGTAGTTACTCCTGAGAGTTAGGCTGCCTTAATCAATTGAATTCCTGAAGAAAATAAGGACCCCAGAAGTAAACCTGAATTTATTAAAAACAACCTTGCAATCAAAATTTCCCGCAATCAAAATTTCCCGCAGCTACAGGGCTTGCTAATGCCATTCACCCAATACGTGCTACTCAGCAGTTTTAAGGATATATTTTCTAGACTATATTGAGGTCTCTTCCCATTAGAGGAAAAATGTTGAATGGAATGCAATTCATACAATATTAATCTCTTGCTCTACTTTACAGCTTAGTAATAAAGTTATTTATGCTGCCAGAGGCATTTCATGACATTAATGGTGGAAAGAGAGCAGTAGACAGGTGGACTGAGTCTGTGATGGTGACAAAGGGCGGAATAACAGCATCTCTCTGCAAGGCTACAGAACAGGGCCGTGAGCAAGAGGAATGACCCTGGAATGAATTCTTCATATGATACACAGAAGAGTAATTGATGACTAAATCAATCTCTGTCCTATCTCCTGGAACAAATGAATAGCAGAAATTGTCAATTAGATGAACATAGTCTAGATGTAGGTCAACTAGCTGCCAATCACAAAATCTATCTGTTTTCCAGATCAAATATATCCTTTCAGATCTAATTATGTATTCTGTATCTAACTCTCCACATATTAGCACAAGCTATACTCTCAACCACACTATGTTTATTCACATGGACATATTTTTTATCTGATTATGCAATTTTATAAACCTTTATCTATTCTATTTTATTTTTTCCTACATCCAATACCAACTAGAAAATGGTAATGCCACCTTGCCCAGAGGTTTGCTGTCTCCCACAGCATTCGCTACAATGGTAAATACGAGACAGACACACACAAAGTGTCTGTAAATAAAGAAATACAGAGCTAACATTTTGTCTGATGGAAGGTTATAATACTGTCATTTTCCACGATCAGATGTAGACCGTTCAAAAAGAAGGGAGTCATGCCATAAATAATTCAGAACAGAAGACCTGAAAGTCATTTATATTTTACTTTGAAATGCATTGAGGCTGGCCACATCTTTATAGAAATGTGCAAATACAAAAACAGTCCACAAACGACGATCTGTGTGCTGTGGTAAGCACAGAGATGAGAAGGGTACAAGAACATTTGTGGTTGTGTCTGATCAGTTTCCCTCCCCAGCCAATCCTTATAGCATCTTACATCCTCCTGTGTAACTGTCTGCCCCGTCTGGTGAACTCCAACGGGAAAGCAAACTCACACATCACTCCAGGCTCTTCCATCTGATTTCTCTGTTATTGTGTGCAACCTAAAGGCTGGCACCTCAATAACTCTTACACAACCTGCTCTCTTTCCTGCAGCTTTGAATTTCAGACCATGTTATGGAAAACCAGAAACAGAACATTCCAGAGCCGGTAGACACTTAGCATGCTCCTAAGGATTTCTAGATACCCACATTCCTTGAGCATCCAATATGTGTCCTGTGGTCTACCTATAGTTTCTAATCAATTCATTTATAATATTTATCAGAATTTTCTGTTGTTTGTGCACAAGCTGCTACCAGAGATGCCCTGAAAGTATGAATGCTTTCTCCAGTTGTCCTGGAAGCAGTGGGCATGCCCAGTCCTACTTCTCAAGACAGCCCGCTGTATATTTTTCCTGGAATTATATCACTTTACTAAGCTTTCTGAACCAGTGGTTCTCAGCCTACGGGTCTTGGCCCCTTTGGCAGTTGAAATGGCCCTTTCACAGAGGTTTCCTAAGACCACCGAAAACACAAATATTTACATTATGATTCATAACAGTAGCAAAATTAATGATGATGAATTAGCAACGGAATGTGGCTGGAGGTCACCACCACATGAGGAACTATATTAAAGAGTCACAGTGCTGGGAAGGTTGAGAACCACTGTTCTAAACTCTCTGAGAGCTTTCAAAATCAAGATCTGCCTACCAGTCAAAGTGTAAGCTCTTGGGTCCAACAGCTCCCATAAACACCCCAGTCTACTTCTTATTTTAATTTTCAGACCTCTAACTTGCAAAGTGAGAATCTAATCGACTTCTCAAATGATTTTGATGAAGTTGTAATATAATAATCCAATCCTAGCACTCAGCAGAATGTCGCTGTAACATAAATCTTGTCTGCCTCCTTAGATTTTTCTCTGTCTCTCACCTGCCGGACAGCCCTGACTGCTGGGAGGCCTCCTTGGCTACTCCAGGCTGCTGAACTAGAAAAATCTAAGCAAACACTGAAGGTGTAGGAGAGTGCAAGGGAGCTAACGCCCTGTGGCAGAAGTTATGATTCCTGATTAAGAGACAGGAGAGAGCCAGGCAGATGAGACGTCACCCATCAGAAGCCCCAGAACCTGCTCCCTGGCCAGCTGCGTCCCTGTAACAGCTCCCAGGGCCCAGGATACAACATTTCATGTCCTGTTAATGCCCACCAGCCTCCACACGCTTTCTCCCCTTTTTCATCCACTTTTTTCAATTTGTACCTCCCAAATAAAACCCTAGCAGAAGAGTTCCTGTTTGCTTTATTTTCTACATCCCGTGGAACCCAGTCAAACCAAAGATCAGTGCTGTGTTTTCTTAAACTAGCTTGATCGGGTCTCCGGTACTTGAAACATTCCATGTGACCCAGTCAAACCAAAGATCAGTGCTGTGTTTTCTTAAACTAGCTTGATCGGGTCTCCGGTACTTGAAACATTCCATGTGACCCAGTCAAACCAAAGATCAGTGCTATTATTTCTTGAACTAGCTTGATCGGATCTCTGGAGCTTGAAACCAAGAAATCAGAAAAGAGCAAAGAGGCCGAGTATCTATGTTAACGCCGTACTACATCAAAAGACAGGTGGGCTCCTCAGCCACTCAGCACTGAGCCTGAGAGGCTTTTAGAAGGTAATGAAGCTGTGACCGTGATAGTAGTGGGGCTCCTTCTCTTTTTCTTCTTCTTCGTCTGCCTGTGGAGGTGATGGAAGAGTGTTAAGAATGGAGTTAGGTGCTCTGAGCATCATAAGCACCCTACAGCAGAACTGCATTCAGCTCATGAAGGCAACTTTAAACATTAACACTAAATGCCTCTTAAAGTCACTTGCTAATAAATGGGATGATGGGCTTTTCAAATATGTATATGAAGATTTTTCAGATGAATATCATCAAGAATCAACTATTTTTAAAAGCCAAACTTTTTTTTTTCTCTTCTCCTGAACCAACCAAGAAACTTTGAGGGCTGTTCATCTATTTCTAGCTCATATGCTGATGTTGAAAGTCTTGTTCTGTTAGAAATTCTTGGAAGGTTAATTGTTTACATAGAAGGTACCTACACCTTTTATTAGCTAAGTGGAGTTGAGAAAATTATTTAACCTTTCTGTGACTTTTATTTCTCTTCTTTAAAACATAGTATCTACTTCAAAGATTCAAAAATGAAGAAAATGAATATAAAGACGTCTATGAGGATCACTCAACTGAAAAGAAATCTTAATCTAGGATTTGCCTTGTTATTCAATACCAAAATGTTAGGCCTGCTCTCCAGAGCTCTGGATCACCTCATTTGTATTATTTCTCTTCCCTCTCAACTAGTTATGTTTTGTTCATTGCCAAGCATGAAGCAAAGATTTTAAAATGTAGCCAGACTCTCCACTCATCTAGATCCTTAAAAACCAAACTCACTTCAGCAAGCTATCATTGGAGCCCCAAAACAAAAGAAGAGGATCCAATCTACCCAGGCTTCAGGTAAAGATGGGCTGCAATAACATGTCCTCTTGATGAAAGTATGCCTCGATGCTGGGACCACGTAGATCCCTTAAATGGTAAAGTTTCACTAATTTAGTGCACTGTATGTATGCCAGTCACTAAACTCACCATTTATAAAATGATATCATAGGATATTTGCATAGAATATCTGCATTGCTGTAAGAAATATCTGATGTTGCTATCTTTCTAGAAAGGCAATTCCTTTTCTTCACAGTCCTCAACTAATGGTATTTTTCACTTGTTTCTGCCAGGGCATTCTGGGAAAGATAATAAACGATCATTCAGTCTCAGTACTCAGTATTGAGGGAATTAGAGTTGTATAAAAACCAGTATCTTGGCCGGGCAGTGGTGGCGCACGCCTTTAATCCCAGCACTCAGGAGGCAGAAGCAGGCGGATCTCTGTGAGTTCGAGGCCAGCCTGGTCTCCAAAGCGAGTTCCAGGAAAGGCGCAAAGCTACACAGAGAAACCCTGTCTTGAAAAAAACAAAACAAATACAAACAAACAAACAAAAAAACAGTATCTTTGTCAGCCTTACTTAGTTGCCTGTAGTTCTCTGTCTAGGGTTAAGGCCTCGTGAGACATCTCCTTTTCACGTCTATCAGCATCATCATGGTTGGAACTTCACAAGTGAAGCTTCTCTCACAT